AAAAAAAGTTGTTCCCTGGTTTGAAGTTAATAATCGTGTTTTGCCCCTAGGAAGGGAGCCTCGATTTTAATTAGTTTTGGTTGGAAGAAGCCGTCAGTGAACGTCATCAAGATTAACATACATGATGCGTGGAGAAATGTCAAATGAAACCCTCGTGTGTGGATGTGCGTGGCTAGCTCGTGATTATGTTGATCAAGGCGTTTACTCCAACATCAACAATATATACAGAGCCTTCATGGCCCAAAGTTTGACATGCTTATAATGGGCCTCTTTCTTTTCTTGTTCAAATTAAATTTTCTTATTTACTAAATTTTATTGGCACTTTTTTATGTTGGCCTCTTTCTTTTTTTTTATAGAAAATATATATACAGTTCTGATGCCTTTTTTTAGTAAATAAGTGCCAAGGGTTTCCAGAACTTGCGAAGGAGTGAAGAATCGTGGACCGCCATAATCAAAATGCCTTTTCTGATGCACATATTTTCGCATTTACAAGATCAAAATGTTAATAGCTACTTATTTCATTGTTGCATCAAATGAGCTATAGATTTAAGATTAAGCATTATGGTTGCTTTGTAGATCTCTCTTTCTCACTTTGGCCATTTTAATAGCTAAAGAGAATAATCAAAGTCTACTAAACTAGGTGAAATAAATTGGCAAGTCTGTCTAATAAATTATTTAGTTATACATCACCGAACATCATTTATGATATTAAACAACAACAAAAAAGCATCAAATATTATACATTAATTAATTAGCGCCATTAATATCACAACAAAAGAAGAAGAATAAAAAAAAAGATTAGTAGAGGTTGGTGTTGTTAGATCTGCTCAACTTCTTGGAGGCAGAGGAAGTCAAATCGGCGGATCTCCTCCGTAACATCTGCCTCATACCGTCGGCGACATAAACCGCCGGGTTATCTTTAAACTTCCCACAAAACGACACGTGGGCCTTAACGGCTTCTTCAACGGTTGTCAACTTCCGGCGACTCACTTCGTCTCTCACAGCTTCGGAGCAGAGACCACATAGCCATTTGTTGTCGAAATTAGATTTAACCTCACTAATGTAATCTTGTGTGCAATCTTCCATTAGACCACAACACTCACATTTCACAGATTCGATCTCCATATTCACCAAAAAAAAAAAGCTTATGGCTTATAAGCTTGAATGTAACGAACAAACAATAAGAA